CTGCCAGGTCCTGCCCGGGGTGGGGGTAGGTGCAGCAGTCACGAGAAGCAAGGCCAGACTCACAACCCGAACAGGCTGTCTGTTGGAAAGCCCCTAACCCTGAGCCTTCCTGCCTGTCAGTATTTTGGGGGCTTGCAGTTGCCAAGCAACGGGTCCAGGCTGCCATGGGAACTCACCCTTCTTCTGGGGCTTGTCATTTTTAGGGCAATGCCACAGTGCTTCCCAATCTCTCTCCTTTCCACCTCCTCATCCTGGCTTAGGTGCCCCTACCTGCCCTGGGGTCACTTTCCGCCCCCAAGGCGGGTGAAAACTCTGATGCTCCAAACTCAAGAACCCTGAGAAAATGCAGAGCACGGAGCCCAAGGCCTTCATTAGAGCCGGGAGAAGATGAGAGGGTTCCTCAGCTCTGTTTACGTCTCCACTCCGGCTGGCTGGTAACCACGCCGTGGGGGGCCTGCCTGCCAGCCCCGCCCCGCCCCCGCTCAGCCCGACCACTGGGAGCCCACTGTAATTGGCAGGAATGTGGACCCAGCCCTGGCGCCTGGCCCCTCCTGGGCTTGTCTGCAGATGGGGACGTGCCCCCCAGACTCGCCTGCCTGTCTGAGGGTCTCCCTCCCAGAGTGCTGGGTGGACACAAGGGGACGCCACAGCGGAGGGCCAGGCACACGGTGGTGCAGGGGGCTGTTGTGACCGCACCTTCCACGGCCCAGGAAGACGAGTGGGAGTCGCCTGGGAAGGGCCCTGCAGGGCCCAGCTCTTCTCACACCTCTCCTGGAACCCACTGCACATCCACAGCCCTGGGCCTGCATTCTCTCTATGCCTGTCCCTTAGACAGGGGCCCCAGTGCTCCCCACTGGCAGAGCCCTGCACCAAGGCCCCCCATGGGCCGCTGCCGTGTGCGCCATGGATGAGCTGCAGTCAGGCACCAGTGGCCGAGGCTCAGGCTGGGATGGTAGGGGGGCTGCAGGAGACAGTGACAGCATCCGCTCCCGGGTGCTCCGCACCTTGCACTGCTGTCCACGGGAGCCCGGCTCCCTGCTCACAGACCCCCATCGCCCCACTACGCCTTCAGTCAGAGGGGCGTCTGAAGACCACGCGGAGTCCTGCCAGGTGCAGCAGGGCCAGCTGGGCCGCATCGCCTGCCTTTGGGCACTCAGGTCCTGCACGGACAGCTCCCTGGTCCCCAGGGCACCTTCCGTGGTCCCCGCACTGACAGCACAGCTGCCTGGAGACCCAGGTGCAATCTAGCCACAGGCCTCTAGAAGGCTGAGACGGAAGGCCGAGCTCAGTTTGCCGGTGAGGGATGAAAGGGACCTGGCCCCGGCCGGCTTCCCTGCACCACTACCCCGTGGCCCCACCTGGTTTGATTGCCTTGGCATGTATCACCCAGGAAATGACTGTGCTCCTGGCCTGCGTACAGTTTGGTGTCATCTCCTAGCAACTAGAGGGTGACATGTTTGTGGCAGTTTAGGGTGGGCTGGGGCAACCAAACCACAGGTCACAGTGCCACCTGCCAGTGCTGGAGTCACCAAACCAGGGAGCAAGCATATTTAGGCTAAGTTCCTGCCTCCTCCTCAGACTCCCCACTGCTCCCCAACCTCCTAGGCTCCTGGCTTTTGGAAAGTGAATCTTTCTCAACAACCCTGTTATGGGTTAAACTGTGTCCCCTCAAACGATCCCCAAATCTACCAACAAGACCTTATTTGGAAATAAAAGTCTTTGCAGACAGAATCAACATGAAGTCACACTGGATCAGCACACGCCCTAGGCTGATCACTGGCATCCTTACAATAATGGGGACAAGTGGACACAGACACCCATGGGCAGAGTTTGGAGCGATGTGTTTGTGAGCACGGTCCTGCAACATCTCGAATTTAGACTTCTGGAATGGTGAAAGGAGACAGCACTTAGTTACAGAGCCCGAAGACACTAGTACAACAGACGCCAGGCCTGGTCCCTGCCACTGCCCATGCGGTCATCATCACACTGCCTCTCCTTGAGTGAATCCCCCCCCAGGACACCTCCTCCCAGCACCGCTCCCAGATGAACACTGCCACCCTTTCCCCAGCAGGCTCCTGGACCATCATCAGTGCCCCCTGCCTCCTCTGGCTTGGCCTGGGCCCAGGAAACGGAATGAATGAACCAGTTCCCTCCTTTGCTACTTTGTCATATTCAGATGTTAACCATCAGGAGACAGCAGCATGGGTGAAGACAGGAAACAGGGAGGGGACAGCAGTGAGCAGAGGGTGCCCAGCTCGGAGCTCCTCTGGGTGCTGGGACAGAGACCACTGTCCCTTGGCATGCCTGGCCCCCGGGGCTCGGAGGCAGAGTCATCGCTTACTTGGGCCACCCTGCTCCTCTCTGACCAATTCTGGGATCTGGACTAGGCACTGTGCCTTTCAGGGCCCGCCCAGGGCCCTCCATGTGCACAACACGGGTCATTCTATCACCTGCCTCCCGGGGACTCTCATGTGAATGTGAAGAGATGACACCTGTAACACCAGTGAGTAACGCACACACTAGAGCAGGAGAATTCTAAGAAACGGGGCACAATACAACTCAAAACAAGCGCCAGTGCCCAGCTTTAGGGAAAGTCCTCCCTCTCAGTCCTCATTCCTAGTCTGAACCATGAGGGTTGAAAAGTGAACACAAATCAGGTATTGTCACTCTGGCTCCCCGCTGAGTTCGGAATCAGACCGAGTCTCCGTCTCAGCTGCCCCAGCATGGTTCCTGGGCTCCCCACCTTCTGGCATGCAGTCCTTGAATGATCTGCTCCCTGGGGTGGTTGGATTTGGGGACTGGTCTTTAACCAACAGGACTGAGCACAGCAATGTGAGGTCAACAGAAGACTTGCAAGGCACTGCGCCTCTGCCTCGCTGGTTTTCTCCTGCTGCCACCCATTTGCCCTCCTTGGAGGGGAGCCTGTGGTGATGCTTGGTCCCACGGAGGGGACCATGTGGCAAGGAGCCCCCAGGGGGCCCGGGCAACAGACACAGGGGCTCCGAGGCCCTCATTCCAAACCGGATCCTGCCAGGAACACAGGAATGAGTTGCTTTTGTGAGACCAGGAGACAGAGGCCCCAGGCTGAGCTGGCCTGGGTGCAGGTGCACGGAGGCTGTGACATCACCAACGTCTGGTGTGTTAAAGGTGGCCTGGCACGCTGTCACACAGCAGTGGCTGGAGGGGCCCAGGTTCAATACGGCCTCTGCCCCCAGGGAGACGAGACGCAAGGATGTGGAGCACTCTCCCACCTCTGGGGAGCTCATACTGGACAGAGATGCTGTGACAAAAGGTCCCGCTGGGTGACAGGCAGGGCACACGCAGCCTGACCCTGGGGCTCTTCCCTGTCTCTAGTTGCTGTTGGGCTCAGCGGCCCTGCTGCCCCCAGGTGGCCAGTGCCAGCACTGCAGCCCAAGGCAAGAAATCCACAAAACAAAACACACACCTTTGTTTAGCTGTCGTCAAGGAAGCTCCTCTCCCAGGCCCCAGGGAGGAAGAGGAGCAGGATCTACAGGTTCCACGAGTACTGAGAGGGACCCCAGAAACCTCAGTTGCTCCCCTCCTTTCCCTTGCTGGCCCCAGGATGTCATTACCCGAGGCAAGACAATGACCCGGCCCCACTTCCAAATGAGGACCCCAGGGCGCCAACAAAGATAAGAGGTCCAGGGCTCTGCCTGAGGCTACACGACTGGCTGGTCTCCGCGCTGGGAGGAGAAAGCATTTTCCAAGGACAGGTCACTAATGGAACACATACTGTACAGCCCCAAGGACTCTTGGGGTCACAAGGCCAATCACCCTCGCTTGGAGGAGGAGGAGGAAACTGAGGGCTTCTCTCCTGTAGCCCCCTCCACATCAGGCAAGACACGCCTATCCTCGTTCTAGGCGCCCAGAGTAGTGGACAAAGCCATGTCCTCCCCGGGGTGTCTTGAGGACCGCCCCTGCCAGGCAGATCCTGGAAACCTTGGGCACCCTTCCGCCCATCAGCCTGGCACATCCCCGCTCCCCCGTAAGGGTGTGAGGCATGTTGCTAGGAGACTGGTCGCCTCTGGCCCAGGACAGAGCTGGCTCTAACCGCCTCTTTTTTTCTCCTTGTCACCTCCCCCGTGTCACGCCCTCCTCTGAAGCCCGTGTGGGTGAACAGCCGCGTTCACGCGAGCCTCTGCCTGCGTGGAGGTGGCCAGAGGAGAGGGTCTCACACGCAGTGGGTGGGCAGGCCCCCCCCCCCAGGATAGCGGCCCTCTTTCCCCAAACAAATCCCACGGGAGCCCAGATCCCTTCTTTCTCCGCTGGATCCTGCCCACCTGGCCTTCCCCTGGCCAGTCTCTTTCCTGACCTCAGTTTCCCAACTGCATGGGGGGGTGGACGGGAACTGCGTAAGCGCGCGATTTGCGTGGACGCGCGCCGGCTCCCCCACGGGGTGGGGCGTGGGCGGGAGCGTGGGCCGCCGTGGCCGGCCGGGCGCGGACTTACCTGGCAATCTACCATCATCCTCAGCCTCGGCTGCTCATCGCCGGCCCCAGGGCGGGGCCCGGGGTCGCAGAGGCCGCTCGCCTCGGCCCGCGCGCGGCGCAGGGGGGCGCCCGGCTGCGGGGCTCATGGCGCGGCCTCGCGTCCGCCCGGGGCCCGGGGCTCCGCGGCCCTCGCCGCCATCCGGTTCTCCGTCGCGGCCAGCGCCGCTCCCATTGTCTGCACCCGCCGGGGTGCCTTGCTGGCCGCTCGGCCGGGCGCTCGGTCCCGCGCTCGGTCCCGCGCGGGCTCCCGGGGTTCGGGCCGGGTGGGCGGGGAAGCGCGGCCCCGCCCCGGCCCCGCCCCGGCCGCCCGCAGGTGCGAGGCGCGGTCCCGCAGGCGGGAGCTCGGGGGCGCGCTCGGCCTCCCACCACGGGCGCTTGCTTGCGGCCGGACCTCACGGGGGCGCCGTTCTCGCGTCCACGGCCCGGCGCGCGCACGGAGCCTGCGCGGGACTGCGGGCGGTGCGCGCACGTGACCCCGCCTCGCCGCGCGCGCGCATTGGGCGCCACGGTCCTGCGCGGCCGGTCTTGCCTGTCCTCCCGCTCCAGCTGCTCGCGCTGTGCACCCGTCCACGCAGCGCCTGGGGTCCTCGACGCAGATGCCAAGTGGGGACCGCTGGACTAGGTGGACAAGGAGAGAGCTGGAGGCAGAGCACCAAGTACCCTCAGCCTGTCACCCACAGGGGCCCCAGTGCCACCTGCAAGACTCAGCTCGTGCGTGGCTGGCGTCCGGCCGCCCCCCGCCCTTCCACCTGCCCCACCCCCATCCCTTCTCTTCTGTGTCATTGCAAGGTCAGTCTTTCCGGGCAGGCAGGTGGGGGAGCCAGGTGGGAGGGAGCCTGGAAAGAGGGGGCCCTGCAGCTGGGGCTGAGCAGGTGTTGGGGTGTCAGTGTTACCAGGGAGCCCTCGAGTGGTCAGGGGTCAAAGCTTATTTCATACCTGAGGGGCTGTGCCAGCCCTCAATGCCTCTTAGCTCTAAGTGACCACGCCCAGCTGTGGGATTTTCCCAGTTCTCCTCACTCACCCCCACTGACGGAGGCCGCTCCGGTGTGGGGTCCCACCCAGGGGACCTTCTGGATCCCTCTTCTTGCACCTTGTTCCAGCTTTGCTCTCCAGCACGCCCTCAAGGGCTGTGGTCACTGGGCTGCGGGGTAGGGGCCCCATCCAGGTGGCCTTTTCAGAGTCACAGCATCCTCGAGCTGAGTGGACACCTTGCCCACCCGGGCCTGGACCCCAAGCCCCTGCCTCGGCGTCCTCCTGTGCACGGTGCGGCCATGGTACATATGCCTCCTGCCTTCTGCTGGGCAGAGCTTGCTGCCAGACAGCCCAGAGCTCCTGCATGCCAGAGTAGTTGCTCTAGCCAAGTGCCGAGAGTTCCTCCAGCCATGATGGCATCTAATCCTCATCCTTGGGGCTCGGAGAGGTGGCGTGAGCTGCCCAGATCCCAGGGCACTAGGACAGACTCCCAAACCTGTGTTCTTTTAGCTGCCTCCCACTCACCTGTTCAGCAAACATGTGCAGAGTGCATCCTGGTGTTGGGTTCTGGGAGAAACCCAGCTAGCTGTGGTTAATCAGTGCTGTCTTGGAACTGGCTATCTGGGAGACAGAATGGAAGTGGTGGGGGGAACTGCTTTGTGAATGACTACTTGGACGAGGTGGGTTTATAGGAAGGCACAGAGGCACCCACTTGGAAGGGAGCACAAATCAAGGCAGGCTTCCTGGAGGAGGCGATGGCAGGAGTGATTCCCAGGGAACCGGCCTGGTGGTGAGATGGGCAGGCCTGGCCTGTAGGCCGCATGGGCAGAGGTGTGCCAGCCCTGGCCCTATGGGCCAAACAGTGGTGCTGGACTGTAGTATGTGATGAGGGGGCTGTTGGCCTGGAAGGGACAGGCAGTTCAAGCTTTGGCAGGGCATTTGGTTTTGTTTTTTTTTGTGATATTGAGGATTGAACTCAGGATCTGGTGCAGCACACTGAGCTAAATCCCCAGCCCTGCTGGCATTTGTAATTATGTCTGTTTCTTGAAAGGGACCTCTGCAATTGAAGAAGCTTCAGAGCCATAAAGGTTTGATCTGCTCCGGCAGGTTTGCCTGTACTTACACAAGGCTTAAATCTGATCCTGCCACGCAGCGCCGAGGGGTCCCCCGGGCCTGTGCCCCTGGTCGAATTCCTCTACTGGACTGGGCCCTGTGCTTCTTTCCCCCAGGGAGCATCTCTGGCTGCAGGCCCTCAGCCTGTCGGAAAAGCACCTGGGCGGGTGGTCTGGTTTCAGCAGCTGGGCTCCACCCATCACTCAGACAGCTGGCAGCTGAGGGCGCCTGAGGGCTCTGCCCTGATACAGGGTCTCCAGTTAGCCCGTGCCCAGGGGCTGAGGCCCACGGCTGAGTCTGGCAGAGGCTGGGCCCATGGTGCTGGGCAAGGCCCCAGAGCCAGGCAGGGAGGAGGAACCTGGGAGCCTCCCCTGCAGGCTGATGTTGCCCCAGCCTCTGGGCCTCCCCGAGCTCCGAGCACAAGCTCCCTGCAGGCAAGGCCTGCTCCTTCCACACAGCCCTGCCTCACAGACTCCTCTGCACGGTGGCCCAGACAGCCCCGGGCCGGTGGTGCTTCCTGGGGACACAGAGGCGCTGGGTCCACTTTTGCCTCTCTGAGACTCCAGTCCTCTCTGGCCCGGGTTGTGTCCTTCTGCTGACGACTCCAAGGCTCCCGTTATGGGGCCTGCTCCCTGCCTCTCTGCTACACTGGAAGTTGTAAGAAGAGTGGGCTCAGGGCTGCCCCTAGCTTTGCTCAGGGGCCGGATTGAGGGGCGCCTGCCTGACCACAGGCCTCCCCACCTGTCTCCTCCTCCTGTGGGAAAGATGCTGTTGCCTGACACCAGGCTGCCAAGCCCACCCTCCACGCCACACCCGCCTCTGCCTGGCTCCCCATGGCTTCTGGGGCTGAGGGGACCCAGATCCACATTCCCTTTGCACGCAAGGGCTGATCCAGGAGGCCGTCCAGCGGCGGGCTGTGTTGCCCAGTGCCCTGGGAGTCTTCACGCCCTGCTCTGCCCAGGCCCTCCGCAGAACCAGTGATACCTTTGGTCTGTGGCTAGGAGTTGGGTAGAAGCTCTCGTCTGTGGCAGCAGCCAGCTTTAGCCTAGGTTTTCTGGAACAACCATCCGCCCTCGCCCAGGCTGACTGTGCAGGAGATCCAGGCTGCTTGTATCCCGGAGCCTACACCACCTTTATTTATTCACTTAATTATTTTGGTACAGGAAATCAAACTCAGGACCTTGTGCTTGCCAGGCAGGTGTGGCGGCGGTGCTGAGCTATGTTCCCAGCCCTGCACCACCTTTATTGAAAACCACCCCAAGCACTACTATGAAGGAAGCACGTGGACTCCAGTGTGGGCCCTAGGGAGCCTAGGCTGGGTGCATTCCAGAGGCCGGCTCTGGGGTCCAGAGTGAGGGAGTGGCAGGCAGTGGCTGGGCAGCATCACAGTGCCCAGGGCCCCGACAACCAGAGGAAAGGAGTCCCTGGTGCTGGACACCTGGGGAGTCAAAGTGTCCCCAGAGGGGACAGCAGCAGGCCTTCGGGTGCTTTTCCAGGCTGGACCTCCCATGCCTGCCCCTCTCCTGGTGGCAAAGGCAGGCAGGATGGGGCTGGTCCCCTCCTGAGGCGGACGGGGCAGGGGACTGTGGGGCTTTGTGTTCCTGTCCACAGTGGCCCAGGCTCCGCTGTCAGCTCCGCAGCCAGCCGGTATCCTTGACCAGTGTAGAAAAGCGGATCAGCTTCAGGCTGGGTGGCACGGGCTTCCTGTCATCCCAGATGTACACGGGAGACAGCACCTTAGACGGCTTGTGGGTGATGAGGCGGTGATTCAGGTGGCTCTCCTCCTGCCAGGCTGCCATGATGCCATTGGCTTTGTCTGCCAGGATGGCCATGTGGCAGCCTGTGGTAAACTCATACACATTGGCCACTCGCCCCCCCGAAGGCTGCCCCACCATAATAGAAGTCCCCCTCGTTGTCAGCTACAAAAGCTGTAGAAACCTGCCTGCGCTCATAGGGGAACTGCTGGCGGGGCACAGTGAAATAGCCTGGGTGAATGGCAGCCACCAGGTCCCCCAAGGTCTCAGGGCCCCACGGGTTCTGGAACACCATGTCCACATCAAGGCAGAAGAGATAGTCTACTTTCCGGTGGGCCCTCTTGGTGATGTGCTGGCTGATGGTCTCCATCCGGCGCATGGAGACCTCCTCCCAGTGGGCGTGACCTCTGGTGGGGATGATGTCAAGGAGCCGGCCAGGGCCCAGCGGGACCCTGGGGATGGCTGCAGGGTTGTGGGTGAAGACGTAGCAGTGCACCTGGTAGCCAAGCATGAAGAACCCCTCCGCCAACTCCAGGAAGTGCTGGACGAATTGGGTGTACCTGGGACGATAGCCTTGTCATCTGGGGCCACCCAGTGGGGCCACTGCCTGGTCCCCACTGTGTGCTGGCCCTGCCCGGGGCACAGGGTGGGGCAGCCAGGCTGGGGTCCGCTTCTCAGGCTCCTCCCTCCGTCTCTCTCCAGGACTGGGATGCAGTGCAGGTTGCTCTTCCACTGAGCTACATCCCCAGGCCTTTTTCATTTGTTTTTATTTTGAGACAGAGTCTCCCTAAGTTACTCAAGTTGGCCTGGAACCTGTGAGCCCCTTGCCTCAGTAGCTGAGATTTCAGATGCAGACCAACAGTGCCCAGCCTGGTCATCCTCGAGGTCATGAACCACACTGCTGCTTCCGGAGCTCTTACTAAGCGCCGGGCGGTGTTCTCGGGGATTCCCATGAGCTTTAGTTTCCATAAGCTACCTAGAAGCTTGTCCATATTATACAGGTAGGACGCTGTGGACCGAGGGGAAGAATATAGGCTCGAAGGAGGTGGCGGAATCAAGGGAGGGCGGGTGCTGGATGCTGGGGGCCTGGAGCAGAGGTGACGCAGCCCCACCCCCAGGACGGGGTCACCTGTCAAAGATCTGCTGCTCCTCACCGGGGCAGCTTCTAGCCCTGCTTCCAGCCAGGGCCGACCCCTTCCCTGTTACCGCTCCTCTGCACCTTCCATCTGTCCGCCCCTGATCAGAGCCCCGGGGCCCCTGTAGCTCAGCCAGACCCTCCCTGGCCCCTGCCTAGTCCACCACTCACTTCCCCACGGCAAACACCGTCACGCCGATGCTCAGGTTCACGGCTGGTAGATGTGCCGCAGCAGCTCCGGGTCGAAGGCTCCCTCGGAGATGATGGGTGCCAACCAGGGCGTGAGCGTCAGGAGCTCCGTGGGCCTGGTGGCAGGGGAGACGCGAGTCTGGGCACGGCAGTGTAGAGGCCTCGCGTGGATGCCAGTGTGACTGGGCGCCACTGTGACCCTGCTGCGGGGCTTCAGTTTCCCATGTGGAGAGCAGGGATGATAGCAGCTTACCTCCCAGGAGGGGCGGGAGGGAAGGATTTGGCACAGGGCCACTGAGTATCTCTGGAAGTCCTGCATTCTCTGGCAGGCGGGGGGTTGGCAGTGAGTGTGACATCATGTACCCCGGATGGTGACCGGCATGAACTGAGTCCTGCAACCCATGTCACTGTGAAATTCCACCTGCTCTCCCAGCCTCCTGTGTGGGGCAGAAAACACCCAGAGCAGTTGGCTAGTGACAGCTGGAGCCCAGGCCCCTGATTGTGGGCACCAAGGCCACCCTGACTTTGGCACTGCCACGCTCGTATGAATCAGAGCTCTGTCAGTTCCCTCCCCAGTCCCCACCAGGTCTCTGAGAAGCCTACCTGTGCTGCAGCAGCCTGGGCTGAGGGTACTGGGACCTGCAACCAAGAAGGGACAGTGTGAGGGGAGGCGGCTTCCACCTGTGGGCCACAAAGGGGGAAGTGACAGTCTGCTTACGGTGCCACGGGCTGCCAGGGCTTCTCCTCCTTGTACCGCAGCTTCATGTTGCTGTAGCAGAGACAAAGGAAGGCTGTCAGTGCCTGGCAGGAGGAACTGGTGTCCTCCCAGCTCCACCCACTTTCTGGGATGGGCTGGGGGCTCCTACAGCCTGATGTGTTCAGGGTCACGGAGGAGCAAGTGCAAGGTGGTGATCAAACACTGTGCCACTTGGCTCCAAGCTGACACTGCTTCGGCCAGGCTGCTCTGTAAGATGTAGGCGCTGGGCAGAAGGCTGAGAACCTCAGGGACCGGGGTAGGTGGATTAACCTTGGGGCTGTATGTCACCTAGGCTAGGGCTCAGCACCAGGTTTCTCCAACACACTAGGCATCTGTAGGTACTCTCAGGTGATTTTACATAAAGGAGACTATCCTGGGAAACCTGCGTGGGCCCGATCAGTTGGAAGGTCTCGAGCAGAGAGCTTGGGTTTCTCTACAGAGAACTTAGTCCGCGGGCTGCAGCGTCAGCTCCTGTCTGTGACTTCCAGTCTGCCCGAGGGGCTTCAAGTCTGCCTGCTGGTCCTGTCACACAAGCCAGGTTCTCCTGATGACTCCACGCCTCTGCCTGTCTCTTCCGGGTTCTGTTTCTCTAGTGTAACCCTGACTGAGACACTCAGTTCTCTTCACCTGTAAAACAGGCAACTATCTCTAACCCCACAGTGGCTGGGGATTAAATAAGGTGTGTGAGAGGGACACAGCCTGTGCCAGCGCCTGGAGAGGCCGAGAGAGGGGAAAGACCTGCCCAGGGCTCTCCAGCAAGCATCGCAGTGGCAGAGCCAGCTCCAGAGGAGGCCCGAGGTGGACAGCCCGTCACCAGGCGGCCCAAGGACCGGTTTCCTGGTGACTGTTGTCTGCCAGTTGCCCGTGGCTTTCCAATGAGGATGGCTTCGGCCTTCTCCGATTCTCGCATCTTCTTCAGTCTGTGATCTCTTTTGAGTGGGGAAATATCCCTCACCAGGCGGAGTAACCATCATTCTGCTTCTGCCTCTAGAAACCTGGAGAGGCCAGGTGCCTCGTAGCAGTGGAGCCGTGCAGTATCTGTCCTTTTAGGATTAGCCTCCACTCTTGAATGGGTAATTCTTCAAAGTCGGTTAATCAGATTGGACAACTGCCCACCTTTCTTACAAACAAACCTATTTCAAGTCTTTTCTCTGAAAGCGATGGGATTCTGGGAAGGTGGTTGGAAATGAAAAGGGGAAATGGCCTTTTACGTTGGCAGCAGCCCAGCCTCCACCCTGCCCCTAAGATGAGCTCCTTCACCCCGACCGCTCCAGCCCAGACACAAGAATACGAACGCCAGGGCTGGGGGCGCAGCTCAGTGGAACGGTGTTTGCCTGTGTGCGTCGGGTCCCGGGCTCCGGGCTCCATTCCCAACACACACGCACACAGGGAACTTCCTATTTCTGAACTCCTGAAGCCAATAAAATGAAAAGTAAAAGGACAAATCCAAAGGAAAAGAGGGACACAACCAATTCAAACAAATTTCCCACTTCCGTCTATTAAAAAATGATAACTCATTAAAACCCACAGACACACACACCTGAGAAGGAAAGAAATGTGACAATAGCAAACCCTCAAACACACCAGAGAGAAAATGGCTGAATAAGCAGTTCTTCAAAGAGGAAGTTCAACCAGTGGGAAGCCATGGAAATGAGGGCCTGGCCAGTAATCGGAAATTAAAACCAGCAGTAGCTGTGGCATCAGCAGGGTGGTTGGTTGGTTTCCTGAGACGGGGTCTTGCTAAGCAGTTCAGGCTGGTCTTGCACTCAGTGTGTAGCCCAGACTGGCCTCAAACTTCAGCAGTCCTGCCTCAGCCTCCTGAGTGCTGGGATCACAGGTGTGCACCTCCATGTCCGGCTCAGCAGGGTGGTTTCATTTCTGATTTCAGGGGGGCTATGGGCGTGGTCTGGTCGGGCCCTGCTCAGGCTGGGTGTGTGCATGAGTGTGTATTTGGGGTGCTGCTGTCCTTCTGGAAAGCCACCTTTTGAGATGGTCCAAGAGCCTGTCCACCTCTGGCCCAGTGAGTGAACGCGTCAGAATGAAATGCTCTTCACAGTGGAGAAGGGTTAGTGACTGTGACTGCAGCCATCACAGGTGCATGCAGAGCCCAAGGAAGCTGGAAACGAGCTTGCTGCTCAACAGCTGTTGGTAGAAAAAGGAAGAAGAGCTCAAGAATTGAGGCCCCCAGCCCGTTTGGGTGAAAAGAGTCTATGAAGGCAGAAACAGAATGATACAACTATTTCCAATACCAAGCAGCGTTTCTGCAGGTAGAGCCACGTTATGCACAACCACTCAGTCAGAAAGCACAGCACACCAGCGACAACGAGCAGATGTAAACACGCGTGGGTGAGACCTGAGAGATTTTTGTCTTTTCTGTTTTCCAGCCTCCTCCCTGCTATGGTTTGAATATGGCTTGTTCATTCCAAAACTCAGTTGGGTTCGATCCCACTGTGAGGTAGTGAGAAGGTGGAAACTGGATACGGCTGTGTTTGTTTAGTTTTTTCAGGAACCACTCCCAAGTGCAGGGGTTAGAGGTGTGGGCCACCTTGTCCAGCTGTGATGGTGTTTAGAGGTGGGGGCTTCCGGGTGATTAGGGTTAGATCCAGTCCCAGGGAGGAGGAGCCTCCATGATTGAAGAAAAAGAGGAGGAGACCAGCAGACAGACACACGCATGCGCCTGATGAACTCTGGCCTTTGCCAGCGCGAAAGCCATCATCAGATGCAGCCCCTTGTTCCTGGGCCAGAATTGTGAGTCAAATTAAAGCTCTTCTTTAAGACGTACCCGGTCTTTTTGTGTTATTAGCAACCGGGAAATGGACTAAGATACTGATTTACTTACTGTGTTTATAAAGATGAAACGTGCCTGCTTCAGTAGCAGTCTAAAAATCCGGATGTTCCTCTTTCCTTTAGCTGTCACCAGAAACGGAAGGCTATGCTGCCAAATACCCGCTTGAGGTTGTCCCAACCCATTTTTTTCACTCCTCATTGTCAAAGAGTCAGATTTTATTTATTTAGTCAAATGTTAATTTATTCCCCTAACCCGCATAGAACACAAAATTGAGCCAAAAGCTACTGTTTACTGACCACCTAGGGCACCCTAGGGCAACACCAGGTCATTGATGGGGCTCATCAGGCTCCACATCCCCAGTGGCCCTGGAGGGGTCCCCCTGCCCTCGCACTTTACAGGTGCAACAAGGGAGACCCACAGCTGTGTGACAGGTCCAAGGCCCAGCCATGACAGGGCTGCAAGGACGCTCTGAGACCGAAGTGGCGCGTTCACACCACATTCACGGCAGCTGATAAACTACCTAAATGCTACCACATTTATCTCCGGGAACCTGGGGGCAATGCGATCTTAAAATCTGTACGATTTGTGATGTGGGCATCCCACAGGGGCCCCAGTCCCCCTGGCCCCATACTTACAAGATCTCTGGACAGGGGAGGTAGTAGGGGGCATAGGAGGCCGGCAGCCAGTTCTCTACACACACCCTGGAAGGAAACACAGTTGTGGGGTGCTCTGTTCCAGGGGCTGACACCCACGCGGTGTGCATAACTGGAGTGAGTGCCCCCAACGGTTCATTTTGGGGGCATCTTCCTTCAGGGTCTGGCTGGCCTCAGAGAACCAAGCCTCCTGCAGTCCCTGCAGATGGGGCACGGCCTGGCATGGTGACCCCTCAGTCATTCACTCCCAGGCCACAGTGACCTTGACACCTGGGCGCACACACAAAGGGCGGGGTGAGGCACAGCTCCAAGCTTCCCAGAAAGGCACAGGGTGTGAATTTGGGAGGGGGCGGGAGTGCTTCATCAGCATGAGTTGAAGGATAATCTAGGCAGAGGAAATTGCAAATCAAAGCCGGGAGGCCACTACAAAGCAGAATGCAGAAGCTAAGACTGGTTAATAGGGCTGGGCTGCAGGATAGGTGAGCCGGAAGAGGTTAGTGGGAGCTGGAAATCTGCAGGGACAGGAATCAAGGTTCTGGGGTTGACATGCAGGGGCAGGGAGGAGTGTGGGGTGGGTAGGAGGGAGGGGCTCCATGGGGAACTCACTATAGGGCCCAGAGGCCTGTGCTGGCCAGCAGGGTCAACCCCAGGCCCAGCCCCAGTCTCTGGCAGCAGGGCATCGCTGGGAGCTGCTTTGGGCCTTGGCCAGTGCGTCCTCACTGGGCTGTCAGGCTCCAAGCCTGCCTCTCCGAATTCCCCTGATCAACTGCAAAAGGATTCTTACTCCAGTGTGGAGAACCCACCCCTGCAGCCCTGCCCTTCCCTGGACCTGCCCATCCCGGTAATGAAGACTCCGGGCTCTGCTGTGGGTACCAAAGATTGGTACTGGGGATCAAACTTGGAACCTTGAGCTTGCGAGGCAGGTGGTGAAACCACTGAGCTGAATCCCCAGCTGCTGTGGGTGTCTTGCTCCTCCCTCCATCCACAAGGTCAACAGAGCCCCCCACCCCCCACCGGATACTGTGGCCTGGCTTAGGGATTCCCAAGACAGTTCCTAGGGAGGACAACAGGAACCGAGCCCAGCACTTCACAGCTGTGTGTGTCCCCGGGCCTGTGAGGGGAGGAGTGGCCCAGATTCCCCTTGGGGCAGAAGTGGCAGAGGAGCACTCCTCCTGCAGGAAAGAGTGTAGGCCCCAGCTGAGCCTCGGGCTCCTTGGCTGAAGCCGAGGGGAGACACACACACCTCGGGTGAGGGTGCGGAGGCCGGGTGGCTGTGCGCGCTTGGTGCTGCCCAGCTGGGCCAGCGCAGGGCTCCGGGCAGCCCTGCGGTGAGGACGGAGGAGGACCCAGGTCAGGCCCCGGTGCATTGACGTCTCTCCCGGCTCCCTCTCTCCCCCTGCCGCCTCAGTTTCCCACCGGGGCCTGGAGCGCAGTGCCCTCTAAGCCCTCACCTACACTTTTCACCCCAGCACCCCAGCCCTGTCCGCCCTAACCCAGGGTCCAAACCCAGAAGGCTGGGACCAAGTGGCACACCTCTGGACTGCCTGGTGTGCGATGTCCAGCTGGCTGGCAAGAAGAGTGGATGCAGATGCGGGGAACTGGGTGGAGTTTAGGCAGAAAAATGGGACTCCCATCTGGCAGAGAACCGTTGCTGTGTTTAGAAGATTGTTCATGCAGTCACAGGAATGGAAAACCAGCGAACCTCGTGACCCCTATTGGTTTAGGGTTGATTTTCCTTCTGATTCTGCTCCTGGCAAGGGGGCCAAGAGCAAATGGCTCCCAGAATCTCCTGAGCCTCCATTCCTCCTGTCAATCCAGGCTGGCCTTGCTTCCCTCCTGCAGCTGGCCCAGGAAGAGCTGCTCCTGTTGACTCCTAGCACCTGTGGGTGCAGGAGGGACCCTCTGACATCTCGCCAGAGGTCTGCCAAACAGAAGGGTGCAGTGTCTCTGGCAGGGGCCTCTAGCAGATGCATGGGGGAGTCAGTGACAGGAGAGGCCCTAAGGGCACACAGGGAGAGGGAGGGGAGAAACCAGCCAGAGACTAAGATAAGCACAACAACGGGTTGCCGGAGGGTGTGGGTTTGCTCAGGGTAACAGTACTCCTTGGAGTCACAAATCAGATTTCCTGGCACCTGGGCACAGCCTCCCAGGTGCCTCAGAGATGTGGCCACCTGTGCCCTGGTCTCCCTGAGGACCACAGGTTCCTGTAGGGCAGGGCCTGTTTTCTCAGTCTGCAGGTGCCAGGCCCAGCAGCTGGCGAGTGCTGGCTGAATGGCCAATGCTTCCGATTTTTCACTGCAAACAGGGCCCTGGTGTGGCCACTCCTGGTTCATTTTCCTCTCTGGGTTTTGGGACCCTGGCAACTGTTCTTAAAGAGGTCCAAGACGGCATGCACCTGGACGTGCTGCCTACTGGCCAAAGTCCTCTCCCGATTCCACGAGCACTCTCCCTCCCCCTTGTGTCCAGAAGGAGACCTTGGCCTAATGACTGTGCTGGCCTGGCGGGGGCTGGTGAAAAGGTGAGGGGCGATGAAACGAACCCCGTGACTTAAAAATATAACAACCAACACTGGGAGAGAACAAAGGGCAGGAGGTGTATGTGGACATCTTGAGCGCAGAACTGGATTGAACTAGGGACTTGGCTAGAGACCCGAGTGTTCAAGGGAGCCAGCAGGAGGACCAAAAAGAACAAAGTAATCCAAGCACAGGAGAAGGGGCCATGGGGAGATGTTTCAGGGCTTGTTTACCACTTCTCTCTCTGTTTCTGTCTCTCTCTCTGCATGTGTGTGTATGCATGAATATGCGTGTATACCTTTTAAATACCTCTTTTTTGGTCTTAAATATCTTTTGAGGAGCAGGCAGACCACCGAAGCCAAGGCCTAGATCAAGGCCCCTGTTTCCGGTTGTGGATCCATTTATTCAATAAGCATGAAGTGCCTACTGTGTGCCAGGCTCTGCTCTGGGGATTTGGGAATTAATTCAGCAGTGAATGCACAAGGGCCCCATCACAGGGAGCTGAGTCCAGCAGGGGCTTAATATGGCAGTGCAGGTCATAGGTATGTGGCCCCAGCTCAGCTGGGAGAAGTTGCTGGATGGGAAGGCTGTGCACAAATTCAAGTCCAGCAGCCCAGAGACAACTGGAGGAGAGCTGTGGTGGAGGGGATGTGGGTTCTGTGGCACCATGGTTTGGAGAAATGGCCCCAGAAGCCCATGTGTCAAAAGCGTGCTCCCGGGTGTGATGCTATTGGGAGGTGGTGGAAACGTGTCGAGGTGGACCTGGGCAGGTCTTCTGGTCGTTGGGGGTGTTCCATCGTCCCATCAAAGGGACTGCAGGACCACAGCTCCTTCTACTCCCCATGTCTCTTTTGCATCCATCCATGAGGTGAAAAGGCTTCCTCTACCATGAGCCCCGCCACGATGTGCTGCCCGGCCACAGGCCCCAAAGCAAAGGGGCTACTCAGCCATGGACTGAAACCTCCTAAAGTGTGACCCTGAGTAAACCTTTCGTGTTTATTAGTTGATTATCTCAGGTCTTTGTTACAGTAGTGGAAGGCTGACTGTGACACTTGGTGTGAACAGTCATGCTATCCAATATCCCCATGTGGCTGTCACCTGCTTGTCCCGGTTTTTCATTGTAAAATGAACACATGAGGAGATCCATCCCTTGGTTCCATAATGAAGTTGCTCTTGATCCTCTGAGTTTGTTTTCCCACTGGCAACCCTGGACAGCTGAGGCTTGGGTTCATGGATGTGTTACTGGACAGGATCTTTGGATTTAGATGTGACACAAAGGAGGGGCAAGTACTATAAGTGCACACATAGGCAAGACTTTAATTGAGGGTTTCAGCTGAAGGGAGCCAGCACTGATCAAGAGAAGTGGATCAGGCTGCTCCCAGAACAAAGGGAAAGCCAGGTTCTTACCAATTAGCTAAGGTCAGCTAAAGTCCAATATTCTACTGCCAAAGGGCATGATTGCAAAAGCTGTTTCTTCATCTGTGAGATAGTGGTCATCTCACCTGTGGCATGATCCAGTACAAAACTTAGCTTATGTGTCTGATTGTCTGATCCTTATGTAAGTCACGAGTTCAGGTATTCAGCTATTGCAGCTGCTGGAAAAAGCACAAGAGTGGGGTAGAAGAAAGCCACCACGAGCTCAAATGTGCATTGACATGCCTGCATGCAGAGCTTGGTAGACTCTCACCACAGCTGTGTGGACTCTCACCCAAAGGAGAGCAACATAAGACGAAGACAGAGACACCAAGGGTTTTCATCTCATTCTGTTCTCCCATCAGGCATCTGCAGGCCCAAGTGCAGAGTTGATCTTTTTGGCAAAGATGGCCAGTAACCTAGGCAACTATTATCCTGCACCCTGTGGATCAGATGTGTATCTCCAGCCACGCTGGTGGGAAACTAAGACTGTATTATCCAGGTATGTGAGCTCCAAAATTAGTGGTCTTTTAAGTCAACGAAGAGCAAGTGAAAAGAAAGTTTATTTAGATTGTTTTCTTGCTAACAGTTCCATTATCTTGTGAAAGCATTCTGTGTTTGTGGTTTTATCAGGGTTTCATCATGCTTGTTGAAAAACCACAAGGGCAGAGAAGCAACTTGCCATGTTACAAAGGAGAATAGTTTACTGCAGCCACAGAGCTGGGGCACAGGGGCCTTGGCAGGATGGAGGTGGGCCCTGTAGCTCACCATGAGGACCTCACTTTCCTTACCTTGGGAGAGATTTGTTTGGAGCAAGAGCTAGTGTCCTCCTGGGTCACAAGCAGACATCTCTGCGGATCTCAGTTGAGGCCCAGACTTGATTTTTGCCCCTGAATGTGGGCAGCAATGACAGACCCTGAGTTTCAGCCCATGTGCCTAGGGTTTGAAAAGCCTGACTTGCTGAGTGATGTTGGATACAACCTGTGAGAGATGGGCTTTGTCCTCTGTGTCAAAGCACAAGGCCAAAGCAACTCCATTTTGGGTTTAAATGACCTGGCCATCTGCTCACTACCCACCTCAGCCCTGTTAATAGTCTGAGCTCCAAGAAATGGTGACTATGTACTTTTCCCAGAATACAGCCAGTTTCCAAGGTAAAGAACCAAGGACTTTGCATTCCAGACCACACACCCCCTCTCTAACTTATTTAGTAATGAAACAACCCGATCCCCTCATGCCACTGAAGTTAGTCAACCGTGATAGATGGTAAACCTTTGAATTCAGCTGAGGAATCTAAAGGTCAGCTGTTTCTCCTGCCTTAGGGATAAAAGGGGCAGCCTGCCTTTGTCCTGCATGGCTGCTATCTCATGCTTGCACCCTTCTGTAGAAGTAAAATGCCTTGTCAAGATTTCTTAATGTCTAACTGCTTTATTATCTGCACCAACAACTTGAGTCTAGGGGCTCATTTCCAACAAATCTCAGTTTCTCTGCCATGAATGGAAGCCATGGATGTCTTCAGTGCTGGTTGAGCTATGGCTCTTTGAGGTCTGGTGAGGCGGGGGTCCCTGGGATGCATTTGAAGTTGAGCGCCCAGGTTTCATCCCAGCTACACCCCAAGCAGCTCTATTCTGTTTGACACACTGGGGTTCTGTGACAAATATCATCAGAGCCCTATAACTGTTCCCCCAAAGAGAGCTGTAAGAATGACAAGCTTGGGGGGATGTGGGACAGCCCCACTCTGTGGTCCCTGCACCCTGTTTCTCTTTGGGCTGGTCATTCAGGAGGCCCTGTGGGTTCACAGCCCCCATACTTGGCCCATCCAGAACCCAGCAGGATCCAGGACTCAGTCATTCTTTGTTGATGCCCATTGTCCCACATAGCCAAAGTCTGGCCAGGAGTCAAACAGAGTGCACTGTGGCCCTGGCTAGCAAATTGAAGCTCTTGAGCAGAGAGTGGCCTGCTGATATCTGGCGGAGGAGGGACTGGGACCTGAGCCCTTGACACCTGGGAGAGGACCAGCTGTCGATCTTGACCCCAGGGCTGCCCAGAGAAGGGTGTAGCAGGATCACCAAGGAAATGAGACAATGAAATTTGATCTCATCTCTCATGGGGGACTTGTTTGAGGAGTGAATGGTTAAACTGTGGGGCAAAAGCACACAGGCTTTGTGAGAATTGAATGGTTCACGATAAACTTAGATTAGTGAGGCCTATTGTCTGGCTGTTGTCCTTCCGCTTTTCCCAAGAAAAACCGCCTAACCTTGAGACAGCTCCTTGCCCAAACTGCTTTTCCTCTGCTTTTTTCACTTACACTGATATTCTAAATAAAAGCTGGAGAGTTCATGGCTTCAAGGCTTCTCCAGGGAGTCTCCCTAATGCTGGGTGCTCTCGGTTGAGATTGCCCCTCTGGGCCCTCTTGATGATTGAACTAAATCTTATCTCTGAGTAATCATTCATCCTCTACACCACCATGGTTGCACACTGACAATCTCTCACCTACCACACTTAGATCAGGACACTGAAATTAGAAATCCCTTGGGTAGCCGAGAGCATGGATCCTCACTTCCCAGTAAGAGGGTACCTGGACTCTGGCTGGACACAGACTTGGCAACAAGACTCCAGCGTCTACCTCTTTGGCTCCGTTTGTCTGCTACTTCTAGGAACCAGGGGAGGATTAGAGTTGTGAGCAAGGGGCTGCTGTGCCAGGCTGGTTGTCTCTGCCTAAGACCCCTGTGTGGGATGCCTCCAGTGACCAGCAGGGGATCTGGTGTCCTTGGTAGAGGGAACGCACTGAAGAGATTTAAATGTGGGTGTCAGAGCCCCCACACTTCCGTCAACACCCCTTGGTGAACCATGAACTGGATTAGTGGGACTGGCTGGTGTGTGTGTGTGTGTGTGTGTGTGTGTGTGTGTGTGTGTGTGTGTGTGTGCACTGTCAGACATGAAGCATGCTCCGTGTGTGTGTGTGCACTGTCAGACATGAAGCATGCTCCTGAAGGAGACAGGCCAGGCAAAATAAATGCCAGGGATGGTGATGGGACAGGTGGCACTGGCCAGGTGTGTCCAACACGGTAAAGGGTAGGGGATGAGGTAGTCTGGATCCCTGCGCAGGTGGCTCTGGGCCTCAAACATCTTCACTCAGCACCCATAAATTCCTGGGAAGTGGACGCTCAGGGAGAGAGGGGCACTTGAGGCTTTGGGACAGGGGAACCTGGCTTAAACCCCAGCACTTGCTACTACTAACTGGCCAGGAGGGACCCTGGCACCTCCCATTCCCCCTCAGAGCAAAGTGAGCTGTAGTTTGGCCTCAGAGGCTCCTATGCAGATGAATTGTGATTTTCCCTTGTCTTAGTTACTTTACACTAGCTGAGACACAATACCTGACACCCACAAGTTAAAGGAGGAAGGGTTTATTTCAGCTCACAGTGTGTAGAGGTTTTAGTCCATAGCCAGCTGGCTCCAAGGCAGGGCAGCATGGGAGAGGGGCATCACAGAGGAGAAACAATTTATGCCAGAGCAGGCAGAAGGCAGCAAACACCAAGCAGAAGCAGCAGCAGCAGCAGCAGCAGCAGCAGCAAGCCTTCCTTCCTCCTCTCCCTTATATCCCCATCCAGGCTATAAGTCTATTGATTGGTGCCAACCACACCTAGGGCAGGGCTTCCATTATCCAGAATTATACTAAACCCAATTAGTTATCACACATTCTTAATCCCAGTATCACATACCCTAGATCCACCTACCTCCAAAAAGCACCACGTATGAGCACATAAGGCTTCGGAGGGACATCTAGACACAGCCATAAAATCCCTCAAGTCCCTAGTGCATACTGATGACAGCTGGTGGATGAGGCCACCCTGGTCCTCAGGGTGGCAGTGCCAGGCTGTGACTCCACCCAGCCAGGAGGCCTGAGCTTGGCCAGGCTCCAGGGTTACCTCTCAGATGCCAGATATCCTCTTGGCAGAACTGGGTCGCAGAGGGGAGGTCACCCCTGGCTGTGCAGGGTTTTGGATGTTCAAAGCTTCTGCAGCATCTCCTCCAAGGCCTGTGTCTCAGGAGACCGAGCTGGGTGGGAACCACAGCCACGCCACTCCCTAGCTGAGCAACTTTGGAGATGTCTCCCTTGACTGTGCTTTGAGTTCCTCGTTTGTGCACAGCAGACCGCAGCATGGCCACCTCCTCCCAGGCAGGATGGAATCTTCTACCTGTAGAACAGGCTGCAAGCCGGAGGGCTAAGCAGACGGGAGCTGCTGCTTTCAGAAGAGAGAGTGGCAAACGAAGTTGTGCAAAGGATCCTGGTCTTGGATTTGGGAGACCTGGAGTGAACCTCTTTGGTTCCTCTTTGGGTCCAGCTGCAGCTTGAGGAGGCTGTTAAGTATCGGAGCCCCCTGGGACACCTCCATCCCTCCTCTCTGGAGGCTGTTGCAGGTAGCCTCGGTGCTTCCTAGCCTGCAAGCCAGCAGGGGCACCCTGAGTGTAACAGTGTTAGTGCCCTGGGGATGACCTCCACCTGTGAGGACAGAGCTCATTCAGGTGGGTTGAGGACTCCAGAGGGGCTGAGCCCAGTGTCCACCCCAGGAACTGCTCATCCAGGTCCCTCACCGGTCTCCTCCTGCTTCACCTTCCCATAGCCCCAGTCTGGCTTTCCAGGATCACTGGCAACAAATGACTTGTTACTGAGTCTTTGTCTGCTTCCAGGGACCCAGATCTGCCAAGGCTCCCTGCTGCCTGAGTGACTTCACCAGGACTCTGGGCCTGCTACACTTGAGTGTCTTCTTGTGTGAAACAGGGACAAAAGGCCACCCTCGTGGCGGCATGGAAGGAGACCTGGCTTATGGACATGGAGAGGGAGGAAGAATCAAGACACTGATTACCAAAGAAACAGGGGTGTGGGAGTTGAGGAAAGAGTGAGGGCCGCCTGCCTGGAGGACAGGAAAGGCCACCAACAAGGGACACCAGGCCGGGTCAGGCCACATGACAGTCACAGAAGAGACAATGGACAAAGGTCACAGGAGGGAGGTTTCCTAGGGGAATGACTTAAATATCCGGATTAGAGAGCCCTTAGGGAAATTAAGGAGGCCCAAGAAGATTTTTGCTGGAATGCTATAGTTTGATCATAAAATTATGTCATGAGTAGTAAGACAACACTGAATTTATTCTTTGCTGTTTCTAGCACTCAGTGTATACTTGGGATTATAACCCACATTTTGTTAAATACAAGATACATTTAATTTAATTTAATTCAATATTTTGAGACAGGATCTGGCTATCTAGTTCAGGCTGGCCTGGAACTTGAAGCAATTCTCCTGTTTCAGCCTCCCAAGTACTGAGATTATAGGTCTGCATCACTGTGGCTGGTAAGATAGGTTTATTCCCCATACATTTATTTTTCAAGATGAAATGGCAAACATAACTTTTTCCCCTTGTTTCTTCCCAATATAGACATTTTTAATGAAGTGGCCAGTTCCTGGCTAATCTTAGGGCATCATACACTGTGTGAGTTCCACTGGG